CGAGTATCAGCCTCAGCCTCAAAGAAGTGAATATTACTTATAATATACTGTGCAATCACATTTTAAGAGTTTTTACTCAGTTCAAGTTTAAAAATTAAAGTATAATATTTGCTTTCGCTGCTTGTTACTTCTCCTTGAAGAAAGTGTTGTTTTTGGTTTATACATTTTTGCACTTTATTTTATTGTATTTCAATACAATTATGTTTTAAAAATATTTTATTCGAGTAAATGATCGAAAATTACTGCACTATTATTTGTTAAGTAAATTTAGCCTACTTTTGCTAAAAGAGAAAATATGGACTATTGATAGTGCCTTGAATAATATCGGCTTCTTTCATTCATGTTATGGGGATTTTTATACAAAGGAGATTTTTTTGTGCCTGTTGAAAATTAAAGTTTACTGACATAGCCATAAAAAAATGTTGCTTTATTTATCTGACCATATTGGAATGTATTTGTTAGGTTTTCAGTCAATTAAATTTGGTTCAATAAACAATATGTGGTCATTTTTAAAATTTTCAATGAACATTCGATCAGTCCGGCCCTCGGCTTGCAGCAAAATTTTTTATCTGGCCCTCCGTCCATTTGACTTTGACACCCCTGCTCTAAACTGACTGTCACTCAAGATGTTCTCTTTTGTTAATATGGCTGGCATATAAAAAGTGAATAAAAATAAATGTCCTTATTTCATAACATTTATTCCATTTATCATCTTGTTGTGGAAACTTGATTCAAGATGTTTTGTTATGTAAAACAACATCCCAAAAATATTCATACAAAGGAGCCTCAAAGATAAGCATCGACTCACCCAGTCTTGGCAAAGTTGGTCCAGTAGGTCATGACCACAGCACTGAGCATGACATCGTTCTTTGAGAAGTTGCAGGGGAAAAGGTCAGTTGGACCGATCATCGGAATTCCAAAAACATAGGGAACCTCGTCCCCGTGCGCGGCATCTGACCAGGCAGGCTTCATTAGACTCTGGCAGTGGTGGTAGAAGGCATAAAAGTAGGTGGGTGAGCCATAGCGAGCGTGGAGATCTGCCGTTACCACAGAGGGCTCCACCCACTGGTGATCAGTGAAGAGAGCCACGAGCGTTTTGCGCCTGGTTTCTGGATTTTCCTTGTCGGCCCAGTCTGTGTACATGAACTTAATGGTCTCCCTCAGAGTGTCTTTGCCCTCCGGGTATCCATACAGACTGTCCACAAAGTCAGACACAGAGAAGTCAAAGTCGTTTCCAGAAACGCCATCCTCGGAGTCCACCACGTTCTCCACAAAGCGCAGGCCCTCGCCTTGGTTGACGCCCAGCATGATATCATAGTTGAGGAACTCCCCCTGCTCCATAAGGATCTCGGGGTCATCAGGAATGACATCTCCATCAATTACAGGTCCAAAAGCCACGTGGTACCTTGCGGGTTGTATGTCCTGCTCCACAAGCTCCCTGGAGCTCTTCTTCCTCAGACAGTCCACCATGTCTAACGTGTCCAGGACGTTGCAGCCCACCTTCTCCGCCAGGAGGCGCGTATACTTGACCGGCTGGTAATTCACCGCCCAGCTGGACAGCGCCGAACCGCTCTGAATGATGGCTCGATGGAAGAGACCTGCACAAAAACACAAGGAACAGTATGTGGTGTGTGTCGTGGATAATTCAGTTAGGCGCGACGAAACACAATGGCTGTTCATTTGGCTGCTGTCATGTCGGAGACCTGGCTGTCAACTGCACAGCTGATAAGTACAAAGCCCAGACTGACAACAAGTTCTTGCTCCCACATAGGACAATAATAGATGCCTACAATAATAGAATCATGTCTGCGATAATGAATGCCCAGATGGCCTGGTCTTACAGACTGCTCGCAGACACACGAGAGCACCGGCACTCTGTCTTTTCCTTTCCCATCCCTACAACTCCCACAGTCATAATCTGTATGCTTGTCGGAGGCAGATGCTGAGAATATGGCGCTGCATTGTTTTGTTGCTATGAGAGAATTTACAGAAATAATGCAGAAAAACAGAATGCGCAATTGAGACAAAATCTTCACACATCTCCAAATAAACTCTGCCGATATTCATACATTTTAAATGAGTCATTCATTCATTCGTTATATACTGCTTATCTTATCTATACTGTTTTCATGTGCAATACTGTCTTACTGTGTCGTACGGCGTCACGGGGAAGATAGACTCAACGGAAGATGACCTGATGGGGTACGCCGTGGACTGGTAGCAGGTGAAAGAGTCACGGTTATCCAAGTGTCTGGCTCTGATAAGGGAGCTAGATGGCAAATGGTGTCAATATTTGATGTTCATATATTTCATGACAGCGGAACGAAAGGGAACTGGATTTCTTCTCGAGTTTCATGAGGATTGGTGAAACATGTTCAACAAGAAGCCTTCCGGATTAAAAGTGAACAACCACTCAAGTGTCAAATTGCTTTCAAATCCACATTTGTGGATTACCCTCTATTGATCTTGATGACTGAAACACACACCGTTGAATTCTTACACCTAATACATCTCAACACATTTCACCTTTTTTCTTTTGCTTTGTTTTTCTACAAGTCACAGACAGTGAACACCATTTCAACCACTTTGTTAGTTATTCATGGTTTCTCTTTTAACAGCCCGCACTGACATTGACCTTTTATCGATACAACTACTTTGGCATCTGTTTTTTGTAACCCCCCCCCCCCCAGTGAAAATGTGCACTCACATTTAATCACTGGCTTCTACTTGAGATTGTGGGTGGATTGCTATAAATAAAAGTAAACTCCTACTCCTTATTCGCGGAGCTGTGCACTTTACTTGCCCACAAAATGCTACCTGGTGGCATGCACGGAGAGAAAGTGTGTGTGTTTGTGTGTGTGTGTGTGTGTGTGTGTGTGTGTGTGTGTGTGTGTGTGTGTGTGTGTGTGTGTGTGTGCGCGCGCGCACGATGTATGGCAATAAACACATTATGATACAGACGTCCTGTGATGTAAGTAGATATACGATATCTTAGTGTTGTGTGTGTGTGTGTGTAGAGGAAACCAACGCAAACAAATCAACAGTCTCGTGGGTTCTCTCCCAAATCAAATTACCGTTTAGTTGCAGCGGAGAATGAAGGAAATCCGAGACGACTTTTTACCACAAGGCATACATCCCAAATAAGAAACATAATTTCCTCAGAAATAATTTAATTGCATCCCTTCGAAAAATGTTCCCATTACATCCGGCAGATTAAAAGCGACATCACTTCTGTTTGCGGCATGCTTTCCTCGCGTCATCGTCGAGTCTCAGTATTACAGTGCTTGCGCTGCTTTCCCGATCTGGGAGTCAGAGGCCAAGCTCCAGCCGCTTGACCACGCTGCTTTATTGTTCATGTCATCGTTACGGACACAGTGATTGAATTCCACTGACGTTGTCGCGGTGGTTGGCGCAACAGACGACGAGTCATTACGAGCGGTAACAGAACGTCACAAGATGTTTCCACAACATCGTGTGGCGACGCACGCTGGCATGCAGAGTTCAAGAGTAATATTTTAGCATCAGTGTGGGTGGCTGCTGAAGTCTGTGTTTATGAGGTAAACACAAGACTTAAGTGCCAGATATATCACTTTGGTAGCCTTAATCAGCGGCAGCGGGGGGCTTATTTCTTCTTGGCAAAGATTAAGTGTTTATTTACACTCCTCTTTACATTTCTTTGCAAGTAGTAAGTAGAATTAATTTGTATGCTTGGGTGAACCGTTAAATGTTTTTGAAAGTTACATTACAAGGTGCACTCTGCTGTGGGTTCCGTTTACGGGGATTTCAGCGGGCTAGTTGTCCGGATGCTGAGACAAGCAATTACAAAGACGTTAATGCGCACACAAAATATTCATATATTTAGATTCACGCTTTACAGCAACATCATCACTCAACGGAGTTCTCAATTGAAGAACACATTGTGTAGAATGTTCTGGCTAGATTACCTATTCTGCCGCGAAGCCCGAACACAAATCGGTTGTAAAATATGCGACTTTTTCTTGCATAAATACAAACGGTGAGATTCATACACCCATTTTCTATGCTTTCCATTTTTCTGCTCAGATCCTAATTCAGTTGAGACAACCTCGACTGCTCATTTCACTCGCGTTTGTGAACTGTGCTTTGGGTAAGAATGCATCTCTTGCCATCTACACCTCAGTCAGCTTTGGGAACCTCTTTACTTTCATTGATAAAAAGACAAATATCACAGAAAATGCCGACGAATGTGAAACGTGTCTCATATGCTCAAATGAACTAACCGGTGTTATAGTCCTCAAACCCTATGCAGTTATTCCTTTTATCTCCATAATCCATGGACCAAAAGCTCGATTGCAGGGAAGGAGCTAAGCAGCAAATTAATCACAACTCATTGATCATCCAATAAGAATAAAACTTAAAAGATATCTTCAAAACACGTCTTGGTTTGTCTTCTCTGACACACTTTCAGGAAATGCCGTCCTGTCCCAGTCCCAGAGCATTGTAAATTTGAAATAAAATCCTGTCCTGTTCCCAGTGTAAATGACTGTAACTCCCATATCGCTCCAATTTTTGAGAATAGCAACATTAAAATGTTTTCCTGCAGGAGATTCCTGCTACTGTCTGCTCCTGTGAGCTTTTTATCCTGTGCTGTCCCAATCGCGTGGTGAAAGGTAAAACTGACTTCCATCCCAAGGGAATCCTGCAGCAAACTGCCAACCTCTGATTGCACAAGTTCTCACTGCCCGTAGATGTGAATGCATGCATGAATGTTTGTTTGTCTCGATGTTCCCTGCAATTGGCTGCCGACCACCATTGCAGGCTAGATCCTGCATCTAACCTCAAGTCAGGTGGGATAAACTCCAGTTTACCCACAACCCTAATGAGGACAAGCGGTTTTGAAATTGCCATCACAATTTACTTTCAAAACACAGCCCGACTGTGAGCTGTTTAAAAGCACAAGACAAGCTCAGTGTGGTTCACAAAATAGCCTCTGCATCATGAGACATATGCACTGACTCCCACTGAGAAGATTTGTGGCAAGCACAATACATTTCAGCGTGAATCTGGACTTTGCGTTTGTTGTTCCTGTGCCGACAAAATGAACCGCATTGGATGTGAAAGCCACCACGAGCGCCACTGCCCTGCGAGCTGTCCTATCAGCTGTGCATCTCTGCAGGGTGGTGGCCTGTGCTGCGACTGCGAGCGGAAGCAGATGTCAAGGATTTCACCCACTTGGAAGCATTAGAGTGACAGCTATAAGACGCAATTTGCTGGTGTGGGAGTGGGGATGTATGGCAGCTGCTTGGGCTCGTCTGACCCTCTTTGGCACTATTCTCCTCTGTCCTTATTTCCCCTCTCCGAGCCCTTTCTTGGTGTTGCCTCTCGTCACATCTCAACGTAACTTAGGCACAGCAAGCAGAAGGATACGTGGGGTTGAGTTTGCCCTTTGGTGCAATCACCACTTGGAAATGTCTTTGATCATACGGAGAGCATATTTGCCTGCAGGGAAGTTCCATGATCAACAAGGCATACTTGATATACGTATTGGTACACAGCTTTTAATCTGTTAATTAAGCAATCACAGTTGGGCTAGACACCTTCGCTCCCATTGAAACTTACCGGTAATATGGCCATTAATATTAATATCAATATGCAGTCATACCTTGAATTATGAAGACCCCAATTTACAAGTTTTCTTAACTTCTGAGCTGTTGCTTGGTGATTGATTTCTATTTTTTAATGCTTTGTGTTATAAGCCAAAATTTGCGAGTCTCAGGTTTGCTGCTGCTCAAGCAACAAGAATAAAAATGTGCACTCAAGGTGCTACAATGTCTTTGCCTGAGGAGAAGGAGAGACACATTCAGTGATGCTCTTTGAGCTGTTTATTGAACAGGACATACGAACAGAGATACAACTACAAAATAAGTACACTCTCAAGGAGCTGCCGTAGGATGCCGATTGATGCCAAACAGGCACATGCAGGGTAACCTGCTCTTTTCCCTGACGGTTCAGGTACCAGATCGACTTGGGTGGTCAGATTCATTAAATGTTTTCATTGTATAGTAGAGGATCATTGCCTTTGATGGATAATCAGATCAATTCCAAGATATTCAAATATATTTGGTCCAATAAAATAAAATAAATATATGATAGATAGATCTGTAATGACAGCAAACATTTTTTTACTCAGATAGGAAATGTGTAAATAGAGTAAGGAAATGTGTACATTATTATTTAGTTTAATTACTCAGTTGTAATTTTCAGTATTTTAAATATACAAATGTTTGAGGCTTTATACTGTATGAGTTGAATGAACAAAGGGCAAAGAAGAGCACAACTTAATTCTAATTTACTCAGGCTTACAGTCACCGTTACAGTCAATAATCAAGTATAGTTAGATGTTATTCTCAGTTTTACAACATTAAAAATGTTCATGCCTCAAGTCAAAATGAACGAACAAATGCTAATCAAGAAAACACGAGCATTTCCTCACTCTTACTTAATGGGCCGTGGTTCGCCCGATTGCAGTTTCCGTAGCATATCATTGGCTAGTGAAGGTCCCTGATCCGATCTGGTACCACTGGTATCTACAACAGCACTCACCAGGCCAAAGCGCCTG